TTTGGAGTTTAGGGTTTGGGGTTTAGGGTTTAGGACTGTACTTCCCTTGAATAGGCCTTCTTGGACCCTTATCAGGTCCATATTCCCTTGCCCACCTCACAGTCCTTCTGAATCCTTGAATACTTTTGAGAGGACCCGTTCCTGAGAAAAACCCTAAACCCTAAACCCTAAGCTCTAAACCCTAAACCCTAAACCCTAAACCCCGTTCTGAAACAAAGGAGTATCTATTTTTCTCCCGGGTCGCTTCAAAGACCAGGGAGAGTAAGACTCGCAGGAAGCCTGGTCCCGGGGACATAAACCCTGACCCTCAGCATCAAAATAGCGCAGCAGCCTCATACTTATCCTTATACTGATATATATATATATGGGGGTCTTTGGGCCCAAAAGCCTTATAAAATAGGGTCTTTGGGCCCAAAAGCCTTAAAATATGAGTCATGAGTCCTTTGAGGGTAAGGGTAAACAAAAGCCCATGTGTAGCAAAGTGGCCTGGCAGACGGGGGTTTTCAAGGTGCCACGGCCCCGGCCACAAGGCCACCTGTGAATGTACAGCTTCGGCACAGTGGAAGGGAGAGTCTTCACGTGGGGTCAGGGGTTTAGTGTATTGGGGGGCGTGACCTTGATTTCTTGAGTTTGGGTGGGTCGATGTAACCCTCTCGACTACAGCATACCCTTCAACCGTATACAGACCCTATACCCTTCCTTTAGAGATGATCCAGGGCCCCAAACTTTCGCAGGCATCTCTGCGGCTCGAATTCTAAGGCTAGCTAGGTCTACGGGTTTAGGGTTGTGCCTGCTACAAAGAAAGAACTATTCGAGTGGTTGAGCCTTCAATGATTCACTGTGCCGCTAGTCTTTTGCGACAGGTGGCCGAGCAAATGCCCATGCTGAAAAAGACATCCGCTCGACATGTGCAAAACGGTTTTGTCCAATGCTATATATTATGCTGCACTGTGCTATACGATCATGCACTAAGCTATACAAAGCTACACTGTACGGATCTGTACGGTACGATACAATACTATGCTGTACTATACTACGCCATGCTATGCAATGCTGCGTGAGGCTGGGCTATGCTAGGCTGCACGAGACTGTACTGGGCTATACTGGACCATACTACACCAGACTAGACTAATACTACACTTCGCACCAGTTTATAATTTAGTATCATGACAGAAATGGGGGTTTCCGAAAATAGGGGACCCTATTATAGTACCCTAAATAGTAGGATCCTTATTATAAGGACCCCAAATAAGGTACCCCTACTTTGCGGAAAGTCCCGAATAACAAAAGATACTGTACTTCGAAGCCTCAGGGTTGGAGCATGCTCTCTTCGAACAGTAACTCCACTGCATTTAGAAGGAGTGTTTCTGGGAATACAAAGACGCTGAAGCTATCTCCTGATGTTGAACTCGTTGGGAAAATTCGGGTAAGTCTCTTAAACTCGCGCTGGAGTCAGGGACCAGGCCTTCTGTGGGAGTTGTTTGAGGGGTCCTGGGCTTCGTGGATCCATTTAAAGGAACCCTATAAACCCTAAATCTCTGAATCCCTTATCTGTCGAGTCTCCAAGCTAGACCTTCCGCATCCCCCGACAAGGACACAAGGGACGTCAGAGCTACTATACCCTAAACCCTAAACCCTACACCCTAAATCCTACACCCTATACCCTAAACCCTAAACCCGAAAACCTAAACCCTAGCCTGAGCCCTAGATTCTGAACCCTTCCTCTTCTTCGGGGCTGCGACTTGTTGCTGGCGAAAGCAAGCGCGCGCAGGGTCGGGCTACGGGTTCAGGATTTGGAGTTTGGGGTGTAGGATTTTAGGGTTTAGGGGGTTTAGGGCTACATAGTATGTTAGGGTCTGGTGAGGGTGTAGGGTTTAGGGTTCAGGGTTTAGGGTTTAGGGTTTCGGGTTTAGGGTTTAGTTAGGGGTTCTAAGTCTGCAATGACCCCTGAGCGAGGGATCGGCTTTTTTGGAAATCCCCGAATCTTGAATTCAGACTCGATATCCAGCTTAAGCCGTTCGCATTACGCGCTTGCCGTAAACCCCTAACCCTAAAGCCTAAGCCCTAAGCCCTAAACCCTAAACCCTAACCCCGAACCCAATCTCGCAGGAGCCGGCTTCCAGCGAAGTGGAAGGCTGTCATGCTGCTAGTGGACTTAGGTTACTGAGTGGTACCCTTTTGCCCTTTTTATTCTAGGCTCCCCTTATTAAAGCCGAATATTAGGAAAAAGGGTACCCTTATTATGAAAGGGCTACTCAGGAACCTAGGGACAAAGCCCCTGCGGTGTCCTCTACAGAGAACATATACCTATCCTTACAGTTTAGCCCCCTTACAGAATCACCCTGCTTCAATGTTTAAACGGTTTAGAAACAGAACCGCCGCAAGGGTGTCGTACTGTTGTGTTGGTGATGGAAGGGCGGTCGCTGCAAGGTCTATATTTTTGCAGATCCGGTAGAGGGGCTTTCGGTGTTCAGGTGTTGGGGTGTAACCCTAAACCCTAAACCCTAAGCCCTAAACCCTAAATCGGGCCGGAGCGCAAGCGATCTCGAGCAGGTTACCTTTTTACCTTTTTGGGGTACTAGAATCCCGGTTTTAATGCCGAAGGCTTACCTTTAGTCCCCAAGAAGACTGGACAAGTAAGACAAAGAAGCATACCCAACAGATGTTTGGTGAAACCTACCGACACTTGAGATCCTGAGGTGGCGGTGTCCTGGCTGCAAGATAGTAGCCTAAATGACTAAAAAGGCCATTCTTTAGTGTTTCATATTCGTTGTTATATCATAATGTACCCGACAACCCTATTCTCATTATCGATGCCCCTGGACAGTTCATAATGGTTTTAGTTTATGGTCCCTGTATGGTTGAATGCGAACACTCGGCACAATCCCACTTCTAAACTTTAAACACGTTGTTGCCCTTGTATTGAGGTGGAGTGGTCTAGGCTTCGGGGGACCGCCTGAGCCATCCATGTTCATCCCTAAACCCTACACTCAAAACCCTAAACACGAAATCCCAAGCCCCAAACCCACAACTTCACAACTCGGGCTGGTCCTCATGCTGTTCGAACTCCGTCTTGGGGCTTCGCGAGAGTTTCGGCTTTGGAGTTTAGGGTGCAAGAGAGAGGCCTGAACGGGAAGCAACGCTGTTTCTTGCAGGCCCAAATTTCGAGTTTCCTATAAAAATTAGGGGTACCCTATTTTGGGGTCCTTTATAATAAGGAGCCTACTATTTAGGGTACTATATTAGGGACCCCTATTTTCGGAAACTCGCCCAAATTTCAAGTACACTCTAAACCCGAAACCCCAAAAGAAGCTACGAAACTCTGGTCTGACCTTGAAGGCCCCATACATGAAGCAAACCCTAAACCCTAAACCCCAAACCCTAAACCCTAAACCCTAGACCCTAAACCCCAAACCCTAAACCCTAAACCCTAAACCCTCTCTGGCGGTGGCAGAGGCGAACCCAGCGGGAAGCGCCGACGTGTTCAGCAAGAGGACGGTGCTCAGTTGGCGTAGGATTCTCGGAGAGCAGGTACCTTGCTTCTCGGGGTTCTTTAGGGTTTAGGGATTGGGGGTTTAGGGGTTTAGGGTTTAGGGTCTAGGGGTTTAGAGCTTACGGTTTATATAGGGGTTTAGGGGTTTAGGGCTGAGTTCTCTGCGAGAGACGATGGCTTCCTAGAAACTTGAAGGACCGTTGAATATGCCTTCCGGCTCTCCTATGTCAGGTTGAAATGTCGGGCTTCTGGGCAATTGGCCGTGGACCCCGCTCTAACCCTGCAACTTTACTAAGTTCCCCAGTAGTACCATTTTGCCCTTTTTCTTGGCGGTCTCCTTATTACAGCCAGCCGAATATTAGGAAAAGGGTACCCTTATTATTCAGGGGTTACTGGGGAACCTAGTTTAGATTGAACTCCTAAATGCCCTAAATCCATAAATGTTTAAGCTCATCAATGTGTACACCCTTAAGCCCCTTAGCACTAAACCCATACGGAAAGACACACAAAAGCTGACGCTGCTTTGCAGCTTTGCCTGATCTTGAAGACTTCTTCTTTAAGCTGTAGGGTATGTGGGGCATTCGGTTTTGGCTCAGCGCGTGGGGTTCAGCGGCGATACCTAGACCCTAAGCCCTAAAACCCTAAAGCCCTAAAGCCCTAAACCCCTAAAACCCTAAAACCCTAAAACCCTAAAACCCTAAAGCCGTAAAACCCTAAACCCTAAAACCCTAAACCCTAAAACCCTAAACCCCTAAACCCTAGTCGACCCACACCCCGATGTCAACATGCGCAGGACTCCGGTCAAGATCCTTCCTGCAAGGAGCCCGGAATTTGCTGGCTTTCGGGTAGACTTGGTGTCGGGTTTGGGGCTTCGATTCGGGGTTTAGGGGTTTAGGGTTTGGGGTTTTGGGGTTTCGGTGTTTCAGAGTTTTAAGGTTTTGTTTTCAAGACGCTGGCGTGCGGGGAGTAGGGTGTTCAGAGCTTCAGGATAATTGGGTTTAGGCAAGTTGCCCCTAAACCCTAAACCCTAAACCCTCAACCCTATAAGGGTCCGAGCGGTTGGCCCCAACCCGCTTTGGACGGAAGGCTCGAGGACTTAGCCGATGCAAGATAGAGGGTTAGGGTTTAGGGTTTAGGGTTTGGGGTTTAGGGCTTTAGGCTTTAGGGTTTAGGGTTAAAGGGTTTAGGAGTTTTAGGGTTTGGGGTTTAGGGTCTAGGATAGATCTGAACTTCTTCGGAAGGCCTGCCAGTGGATAAACCCCGCGTTTTTGACGTGCATACGGGTTTATGGCGGCGCCCATGATGCCTGTCATAGGCCCCAAACCCTAAACCCTCGCTGACATCGTCAAGATCATCATCTTGTGCAGTATAAGTTTCATCATCATTCATCATCATCGAGTGGTCAAGAAGGTTGAGCAGTGGAGCCGCGCGTGTCTTTATCGTCTGGTTCCGCATAGCGGAGCACATCAGAGCGAAGCTTGCAGGCGCAGAGCTCGCGCATGTCCGTATGCGCAAAGAGGTGAAATTCAACCTGGTGTTGGTGGACGGACCAGGCGGCACCGGCAAAACGTTCAGCTTTATGAAAGCCATGATTTTACTGGCAGCTAAATGACGACGCTGGCGACATGCCAAATGACAGAAATTCACAGGTACGCTTTTTTCTGATCACGTCCCATGTTGCACGCCAACGAACATCACTGCCCTTGACCACGCCGTAAGCATAATCAAACACTGTGACGCCGCGTTTGAAATCTTAAAGGACTCACAGTCAGCTCGAAACACGTGGATCACGAGTTCAAGAATGCCCACTCTGCAGACAAGTGGCTCTTTGAAATTTACTCAGACCACCAGGTGCGAATTGCGTTCATCATCATCGTCCTGTGTGAAGTTTGATGTCAGGTGGTTTAGGCGGGCAGTGATAGAGACGAGTAGGCTGAAGGGCCCTCATCAGGAGCTTTTGGTCCAGGATATTCCGGCGATTTAGGGTTTAGGGTTTAGGGTTTAGGGTTCAGGCAGAGGCAGAGGCTGCAAAGAGGTCGTCGTGCGTGGCTCGGTTGAAGTAGGTTTTAAGCATGAGTCGATACTTCTACTTCTCTGACAACGACTGCTACTACCACTACTTGTTTAGCGGTTTCAGGTCGCATCTCCGTTTAACAGTTTAACACTGTATATTATATTATGGTCCCTTTTCAATTCATATTATAGGACCCTAAGCATCAGATAGATCATCCAGAAGAAGGGTGCAACAGTCTGGGGTGTCCTTGAACATCCAGCACGACAAGGTTTAGGGTGTAGGGTTGGTGCTTCAAACCCTAAACCCTATATAAATCAATCCTAACCCCTAGACCCTCAATCGTTTAGAGCATACCTGAACAATCACCGATGTTATTCCTCCAAGTTCCCTATTATAACTACAAAAGCTCCAAAGCCCTACAACGATCCAGGCCCCTGTAACCTAGACCTGCTATAGGGGTGCTTGGTTTAGGGCTTTTAGGGTTCACCCGACCCTCTTCAGGCCTAAAATGCCAGAACTCAGTCGATTTGGTGTCGACGCCTGCACCATGGACATTTGGGACTGAACCCGGCAAACATTGGAAGTTCGAAGCCCGTTCCTCTAGGGTTCCATTTAGGGTTTAAGGTTTAGGGTCGATCCACCTTGCAGGCATCCTTCAGTGAAACCCTAAACCCTCGTCCCGAAATCCCTCATGCCTATGCGTTAGCCCTTAGAACGGCCGCACAGAACCAGTCTGACTCCACAGCAACACTCATATAGCTTCCCACGGAGTTGTAGCCCTAAGCCAACCTCTAAATCACCGAAAATGCTTCGAATGTACAAAGGTTAATGATGCTAAGAAGAAATGAGAGTGTTTATTAATGAGGACAACAGTGGCATTATTCATGTTAATGATAATACTACTGCTAGTAGCAAGAACAATAATCAAAGCAGGAGTGAAAGTAGCAAGTCGCTATAGTGCTAGTAGTGGTATTAGTAATACTGACGAGTATCAGAGTATCAGAATTACTGTAGAATACAGGCATATGAAAATGGTTCACCCTCAACCCTAAACCCTAAACCCCTAAACCCCTAAACCCTAAACCCTGAACCCTGAATCCTAAACCCTAAACCCCCAAACCCCTAAACCCCGAATCCCAGGCTTGGCTGAGGATCCCGTGGAGGAGTGGCTGCCCTTGCTACTGGTGCGGGGCCCATCGATGCTCCCTTGCTTGGTTTGCGTTTTAGAGCTTCTGCCATGCACCCTTTCAATATCCGGGGTTTTGAGGTTGAATCAGGGGCTTTAGGATTTTAGGGTGATCTGTAGCCACAATCCCTTTGCAGTAGTGGGTGATGACTTTTGAGCGTAAGATAAACCCTAAGCCTAAAAGCCCTAAAGCCCTGAACCCTAAAAGTGTAAAGCCCTAAGCCCTAATCCTGAAAACAGCCATTTATCGAGACAGTTGCCATTTTACTGACAGGGGTTGTTGTAATCTTCTTGTGGTTTTTGGTCATATTTTTGTTATCCATTTGTCAGTCATGTTCTTTGAGGAATGACAACCGCAACGACAAAAGCACATGACAAGAAAAACCACATAGTCTTCCTGAACCCTAAACCCCTAAACCCTGATCCCTATCCTATGGCCCTATGGAATCTTATCGTTCTGCTGCCAGTGCTGGCAGATTCCTCTTGCCAAGCGTCTGGCCGACATAAACAGGGAGGCAGCAGAACCGTTTTGTCTTGCAGTCGTTTAAGTCTCTGGCTGAGTTAGATTACCCTAAACCCTAGACTCCTAAGCCCTTGTAGTAGCCATAAAGTTGGCACGTCTTTATCCTCATGCCCTTTTAAAAGATAAAATATAAGGGGTCCTAGCACAGATCACCCTAAATCCATCTTCCAACTCTCTGGAATCATTTTTGGACTTCTGGCCTGAGTGTGTTAGCGCATGTTACATATATACATACCTGGACCCCCAAATTATGTAGAATAATAGCTTTTTTTAAGGTTTTGGGCCATTATTTTTCCTACTTTGGGGGGTTTAGGTATGAGCGCATAGAGGTGTATATGGATGGCAATGGCGGGGCTCCTTGTGCCTGCTGCACCTTCAGAAAGGGGCGACTCAAAACTTCCAGTCAGTGGAACGTTTGTCCATTGCCAAATGCGGAACTCAAGCAACTGCAAGCAAGCTTTGAGAGTGCACATCGTCTAGAGCAGGCGGATGAAACTTTTCAGCCCAAATCCACCGGCGGAGGATACCCGGTGATATCAGAAATTTATGGACTTTTCAATCTTGCCGAGTAAGTTACCGTTTCAGTTTCGGTGTTCAATATAATTTCAGAAGCACAAGCCTCGACAAGCATCCCATAGAATCTCAGGCACCCCATCACAAATCACATAGAACAACTGACAGTGGGCAAGCTGCTCTAACCCCGAATCTCTAGCCCGTATCACCTAAAAGCCAAAAACCCTGGCTCCAAACCATCAAGCCCGCACCCCCCCTGACATTCTGAAAGTCCTCAACCCCGGAACCCTATCCCTATATAGCTTGCACAAAACCCCAAAAGCAAGAGCTGTAACAGCCCTCAGACGGTAGAAATGCCGAGAGCGGTGCCCGTTATGCGAGCTCAAAATCTCTAAACCTGAAGCCCTACACCCTAAACCCTAAACCCTTTAAAAAAAAGACCATAAACCCTAAACAACCGAGGCGGCTGCCCTTCCCTCTCTGAAGGGCGCTCTGCCGAAGGAGCGCAGCATCGCGACGCCGGGTTCATTCAGTATATATATATATATACATATGTACATATACATAGAAAGACACACACACATATATATATATATATACATATATATATATATATTCACACATACACATACATACATATGCATGTATTTAACTCAGCCAACGGCCCACCACGGTAGATGACAAAGGTAGCACAAGGAGAACAACTCAACCCCCGATGGGACACACACACACACAGAGCCAAGTTGCCGGGAGGACGATCGGGGACTTTCCGTGCTGCCGGTGTCCCAGATGGGACCCTACAAACCCTAAGCTTTAGGGTTTAGGGTTTAGGAGCCTTGATTTCTCAAACCCCACACCCTCAATGCTAACTCCGTAGCCCTTGAGCCTTAAACCTACAGACCTTAAACTTTGCCGGGAGTCAAGGGCTGCTGCTTTGGCTATAGTCTGGCGGGGCTCAGAGCTCTCAGTCGGTTCAGGTTCGCGTAAACACTAGAAACCCTAAGGTTTCTCTTTGGGAGCGCTTTTAGGGTTTAGGGTTTAGGGCTTTAGGCTTTTAGGGGTTTTAGGGTTTAGGGTTTAGGATTTAGGATTTAGGGTTTAGGGTTTAGGGCTTAGGGTTTCAAGCTTAAGTTAAGCTCTCTTTAGGAGCCCTTTTAGGGTTTAGGGTTTAGGGTTTAAAGCTTAAGTTAAGCTCTCTTTAGGAGCCCTTTTAGGGTTTAGGGTTTAGGGTTTCAAGCTGAAGTTAAGCTCTCTTTAGGAGCCCGAGGAGCCCCTTTCAAGCTTAAGTCAAGCTAGGTACCATAGAGGTACATGTATCCCTAAGGGTCCAAGTACCTAATAATCATATACTCTCCCAAATATTAACCTCGATATCTACTATCCGCATCTAAAGTACCTCATTATTGGGTCCTTTGGACCCTTAGGGTGAGATTGCAAGGCGACAGCAGAAGCACCGAAAGCCAAGCTGCAACCCCCGCACTAGTGGTTACTGGTACATGTCGCAGGGAGTTTGGATAAAGATAAAGCCCTAAGAAACACTATTGGTATCTAGTCGGGCGTTTATATTCCCAACTATCGCTTAATGGGACCTTCAATACTCAAGGCAAGGGGGTTGTGTCGAAGAGTGGCTTGGGGTCTTGTGCTGAGGCTAAACCCTAAACCCTAAACCGTGGCTTGGGGTCTTGTGCTGAGGCCGCATCCCCACCCACTGCAGAAGAAAACGCTGCGGAGCGCCAGGCCTGAAGTTCTCTATATAAGGGCCAAAACCCTTAGTGCAACCCTTATAGTAATCCTAAAAGTAACCCCAAATAGTAGCCCTTATAGCAACCTTTTTGCAGGAGCCCTTATAGAAACTCTTATAGTAATCCATACAGAACCCTTACGCTAAGGGTCCATGTACCCAAATAGTATATACTTTGGCCTTAAAGTAGTCCCTATATAGGTACTCTGGGGCCAAAGTATATTATACGATTTGGGTACATGGACCCCTAGGGCATAGGGGCCAAAGACCACAATCATAAGCTACTGAATCCTAAACCCTAAACCCGACAATCTGAACCCTAACCTCTAAACCTAGTCCCTTATGGTCTCGTTCATGCCTGTTGTTTGTTCTGAATCCTCACAGCACTGAGGGAGGACCCTGTTACCCATGCTCGGTTCAAAGTCAACTAGAAGCCCCTGCCCTACGACTTGAAACCCTTTCTACGTGGATAAGGGGGGTAGACGCATCCTTGAACCCCTGGCTTAGAGTCGGCTTAAGGCATGTATGCGCAGGTTTTGGGGACATTTTCCAACAGACTCAGCAGCACCCCTACTTGCCTTTCCAAGCTCAGCTAGAACCTTCAATCAGTGGGGGGGGGGGTGGGGTATCAAGCTTCCCCGCTGCCTCAACCAAATCCGAACCCCAAGCCCTAAACTCTAAACCCCTCCCAAGCTTAATGAATATTTCGCGACGTACCCTTTTACGACGGTATCTTGGGACTGTTAAGGTCTGGATTCTTAGCATCGTCATCCCCGTGCTTCTAGTCCCTATATAGGGTTTAGGGTTTGCGGTTTGGGGTTTGGGGTTTAGGGTTTAGGGTTCAGGATTTAGGGTTTAGGGTTTAGGGTTCAAGGCCTAACTAGGCCCCTAGCATTTTTTGGGATGCTGACTTTGAACTCGTTGTTTGTGAGCATCTGGGCTACTATGACGGAGACCCACGTAGGGGTCTGGTACACTTGAGATGCAAACCCTAAACCCTAAACCCT